TATTAGGGAAGGAAGTGAAAATAGACCGGCTTTACAATATGAATCACGTTGCCACGCTCTAATACTGTATCAGGAAATCTACAATATCAGGACTGACATTACCAGAATAACAACCTATTGATGTGATACGTTATAACATTAAACAAGTTCAACTTAACTTCACACCCTCATCTACTACTTAAGTCTTGTGTCTTATTTAAGGTTCAAACACACATTCAAACAAGACCATGTCTGGCTACAATTTAAAGCCACCACGACTAATTAAAAGGCCCCACGGTCCACACTCACATAATCAAGTAATGTTATTTATTATGGTTACCACGAAACCCTATTGAACACCGGGGCCATCTGGTCTTAACACAACCCATAATTGAGACACAGAAGACCAACTTGTCAGCGATATTAATTATGGAATTAACAATTCAATGGAGTTATTGATGGTGATAGTAAGCAGTTTATATACCAAATTGAAATATTTAACCCAAAGTTATCTTGTGTCATCAATAGGAAAGGAGCCAATTTGTCCGGGAGAGTAGGATGTCAATAAGATGTTTGGAGAGTTGCCAAAATTCCTATTGCCAACGTTTAACATAATGAACGATATTACTATTATTATTATTATAGCGCGAATATTATATAATTCATGAGAATATTTTCAAACGGACGATTAAACTTATAATTAGGACTATTTAGCATTTTTTATAACCCAATAACAATTTAGTAAGGATAACAATGACGTTTTAAAAGTTGTTAGTCACACACTCCACGTCAGCTTTTCATCGCGCGCGCTTTGCCAGTCCGCCATTTTTAAAGAACAACCACTTGTTAATTAAGGTCACATGTCAACATTTTCAGAAGACGAATAACTTTCAGGAATAACGACAATCCTCGATTTAAATTGACCCAAACGGTCTGTATATCAACATTTGGTGTAGACTAAATTCTAAAATCGAGCTAAAGTACAACTGACATTCCACCACGGTTTAAAAGAATGATGGCGCAACCACGTGACTAACCGGTTAGATAACAGGTGGTTGAAACAATGAATTATACTATCATCATTTTTTTATTTTAAAACACGGAGGACGAAAATGAAGAAGTCGATATGAAAAGATGAAGTTCATATTACCATCTTGAAGATGTGACATAATTGAGGGTTTTATGACAAACCATGTTGCTGAAGATGGAGGACACGCCCTTTGAAGATGAGCTATTTTGTCGCATACGCAGTCTAAACGTTTACAAATAACATAATATAAAACAAGTTGTTAGGATTTATAAATAATGAAATGAAAAACTTACCATGATTGATGAATTTACGTTTTTAGCAGACGAATATTCGAGGAAAGTATAAAGAGCTTTGCACGAATCTCACACAGACGATAATGTGTCCAGTGAGCCTCTCGCAGCAGTAAATGGCGGTAGATGTTCAACACAGTCGGTATATTATGTTGACCTTGTGACGTGTTACCAAGGCAATGCTTTTATTGGTGGAAAAATATAACAATCATCAAATCATCGTGAAGAGAACACGAGCAGTCCAGTAGTTAGCTGACAGCTATGGATATCTGATCATTATTTGTTTAACTCGCGCATGTTTCAAGCAAGTGGTCGCCGATATACTAGCTATTTTAAGAGCGAACCTAATGGGGGTGGGGGAGACCATGGGATCAGAGCACGGGGTCAGAGCACTTCCGACTCCAAGTATTCCTTTCTACCCACGTATGTAAATAAACTAAACTAAACGGAAACAAAATAATGAATTTATTTGACTAATTAGAATGGTCAGTGGAAATTGGAAACTGGAACTATTGACGACTATAACTTTGTAGCTACTTTTGTATTGGAGACTATTTTATTTATCCATTTTTGAAATCTCTTCCTTGATTATAGGCTATAATCTGACAAGAACACTTTGAGGAATTAAATTTTTACAGATGCTCATTCTGCGAAGTAAGCTCTCTAAAGTCATGGATACGAATTCTGACACCGATGGACTAGTTAAGGTAACGTGAACCATAAAGTATTTTGGGGGGTGGGGTAAGGGTTTTGAACATTTTCAATGTGCAGTAAAGCCCAATCTGATTAAAATACAGGTCCTATTTCGTTTCGTTTTTTATAGGTAAAGTTTTTGTTTTACTTGTCTTTACAACACTAGGATCTGGAAGAGTTGTTATATAACAGGCGTTCTAGTTGATGTGAGGAATTAGCCAATGAAACGGTCTGTTACAGCGAGTTCTTGGCGTGCTCTGCACGGACCTGTGCGTAAACCCCCAGAAACGTCAACGCTTAATGTCTGACGTCATAGGTCAAAAGCCGCTCGTATGACCACTGACGCGACCTCCCAGTCTGCATGTAGTGTAGGCCATCGAATAGTATAAAAAAAACGAAACGAAATATAGATCTGTATTTTAATCTGATTGAGTAAAACCTGGCATCAATCGTGAAATATAGCAACGTCACCAATTTTGACAGAGCCCCTTTAAGCAGTATTATAATGTTGAAATGAAATGGAATGGGGTTTAATGACCTACTTTTCTCCACCAACCGGGGCTAATGAAGATTACATATGTCATTCAGTGTGCTACGAGGTAAATTTCTTTTTACGTGCACCCAGCGTGCTCGCGAGACCTAGGTTTACGCCCCATCCGAACGACTAGAAGCTGTTCCTATCCCCCCCCCCCCACACACACACACAAACATACATGCACACACAAACATCACCACTGACTGAAATTTCCGAGGAAGTAAATTGGCCAACACCTGGATCGCGCCTTGCTCACTGAACCACCGTGAGCTGGGGAAAACCACAAGATAGGACCGTACACATAATTTTCAGGATGCGCGTTAGGCCGAGGGAGTGGACGGGGGCATGAAATTATCAAACAATAATTTTATCTCTGATACTATATTGTGTACATAGATGTAATTAACAACGCTATTTTAATTCTGGGGAATCAAGGATGCGACCTAAAAGAATATGTCCGCCAAAATAGTCTGACACTATAAATCCTGTTATTAAATCAAACGTTGTGTGAAATACAGGTGATGTTAGTGGCAGACAAATCCTGATAGCAGCCATTCTTACACGGTATATTTAATCATCTTTCTGCCTTCGAATAGTGTTTTCTTTGAAACATTATCGCCTGATATTATGGATTTTAAAAGCATTACAAACATCCTTGTGGTTTCCAATATACCAATACGAAAACAAAATTCCCATTGGATGTGGATGGGGCAGCGTAGCGAGTGTCAAAACTGGTTTCCGGCGAAATATTTAAACTAAGGAACAAAAATCCCCCCTTCACTTCTCCGGTTCCAACGGCCCTGCAATATCAGGAAACACCATTTTTATTTGTAGATCTCGAAGTTAGCTATGTGTCATATCTGGGTCCATAACTGTCTTGTTAAAAATCTTTCGTGGAATCTAACTTTATAACAACAAAGACCCCAGTATGTCGCAAGTATCTGATCAAACTCATGATTAAGAATGACGACTTATTTATTAATTACGTCTAATGTATAGTGCAACGGGAAGTCCTCAATGGATGCATTCTTCCACCATAAATCCAAACCGGACAGAAAATCAAAATTCGAATCCTCAATTCAAGACCCCAAAAATTAACATCGGCATCCACAGGGAGATTAAAAGAGGGCGAGGTGACAAGTGGGGCAAATATTGGGTTGAGGGATCTAATTTAGATTTGGAAATATGAAGATTGTCATCAAATCCCAACGAAATCTTCAGAATTAACACAGTGCAATGGGGTTCGTAAATTGATCGACTTTTGGCTCAAGGTTTCTCATATACATGTAGTCTATTACTTTTGACCGTCTTTAAAAGGGACTGGGTTGGAATCCTACCTTGATTGAAGCTTGAAACTTCTATTCCAATACAGTGGCGGCGCCAGCCGTTGGTGATTGGAGGGGCAAAGCTGGGGCAAAGTCCAAGGTTAAGGGGGCAAAGGCACGAGCTTTGAAAAACAGGTTGCCGGAAATGCAGCCTGGCAGTATTTCAGGCAGTGATCGATGAGGTAAAGTGTCAAACGAACGGACTTGCGAATCACGACGAAGCCCACTCACGAGCGTCAAAGTAGGGAGTTATCCCCCAGAAAATTAAAAAAAATAGACTGCCGGAAATGCTGTCTTACAGTATTCTGTCAGGCACCGATCATCGAGATATATAGATCTGCCCAGATACCGTTCGTCGCCTGATCACTAGTTTATATCCGACTAGAGAACAAAATGTCAAACGAACGGACTTGGGGACCTCGCCAAGAAAATTTTGAAAAATAGACTGTCGGAAATGCTCTACAACATGCAAGTTTATGACTGAGTGGGGATGTGGGATTTATTTACCGTAGAAGGTATTGATTACCGAAACGTATCACAAATACTTTTTTTTATTTTCTAAAATTATTGTGGGGGCAAACAGAGGGCAGACCAGATTAATGGAGGGCAAATGCCCCCCCCCCCCTGGCGCCGCCACTGTTCCAATACCAAACAAAATGTTCCATATTTCTATTTTATTTACTAGTAACTTATTTTAGTCGACCAGAAGATATCTCCGAATGCACCAAATTGAATCTATTTTTCTAAAGTGTTTATACCAACCCCCCCACCCCCAAATCTTAAGCCGACCATGGACTATTTTGAGACAAATTGTGGATGTTTTTATTAACCATGTCCATGCATACAATGCTAATAGAATAACATTGCCCGCACACCGATCTTTCCACCTACTTTCCTTCAAATCTAATCTGCCAGTATTCTTTATCTTACACACCAATGTATGGGTGGACCTCGGATTTGTCATTTACGGTTGGAAGATTATAGCTAACCTGAGAAAGGTCAAATCTGACTTAAGCCCGAGTTTGCATACGCCAGATAACCATAACATTGTAAAGTTTGGATTTTCGCAATGTTGATTACCAAAATGAATGGGATTCCATCGCTTATTTGGAAAAATACAGTTTTAATAAACACAGAAAAGAGGCCAATTAATATCAATAAAAATTGTTTAATTATGTACATAGACTGAAGATAGGGTGTATGCTTTCAACAGAACGTGATAGACAAGGTAAGAAGAGTAGAAACAAAATACTATTCAAGTCAAACTGTTTAATAATGCACAACTTGTAATACTCATAACTAGATTCTAAAGTCTTAAAACCGGATTATCTGGAATCTAATATTCATCCCCTTCCCCTTCGTCTGCTTCCTCATCAGCTCCATCAATACCAACTTCTTCATAATCCTTCTCCAGGGCAGCCAAATCTTCTCTAGCCTCAGAGAACTCACCTTCTTCCATACCTTCACCAACATACCAGTGAACGAAAGCTCTCTTTGCGTACATCAGATCAAATTTATGATCCAGACGTGCCCAGGCCTCGGCAATAGCGGTGGTGTTACTCAACATACAAACAGCTCTCTGCACCTTGGCTAAATCACCTCCTGGTACAACAGTTGGTGGTTGGTAGTTGATACCGACTTTGAAACCTGTTGGACACCAGTCTACGAACTGGATGGTTCTCTTGGTCTTGATGGTAGCGATTGCAGCATTGACATCCTTTGGGACAACATCTCCTCGGTACAACATACAACAGGCCATGTATTTTCCGTGACGAGGATCACATTTTACCATCTGGTTTGCTGGTTCAAAACAAGCGTTGGTGATCTCCATTACAGATAATTGTTCATGGTAGGCTTTCTCGGCTGAGATGACTGGAGCATAGGTCGCCAGGGGGAAATGGATACGTGGGTAGGGTACCAAGTTAGTCTGGAACTCAGTTAAGTCGACGTTGAGGGCACCATCGAATCGGAGAGAGGCAGTGATGGAGCTGACAATCTGTCCAATAAGTCGGTTCAAGTTGGTGTAGGTTGGGCGCTCAATATCCATGTTACGACGACAGATGTCATAAATTGCTTCATTATCAACCATAAAAGCACAATCGGAATGTTCCAGGGTGGTGTGGGTGGTGAGGATAGAGTTGTAGGGTTCAACCACAGCAGTGGAAATCTGTGGTGCTGGGTAGACCGCAAACTCTAGTTTAGATTTCTTCCCATAATCAACACTCAATCTTTCCATAAGGAGAGATGAGAATCCAGAACCGGTTCCTCCACCAAAACTGTGGAATATAAGGAAGCCCTGAAGACCTGTACATTGATCAGCCGTTTTCCTGATTCTATCAAGAACCAAGTCGACAATTTCTTTACCAATAGTGTAATGACCCCTGGCGTAGTTATTAGCGGCATCTTCTTTACCAGTGATGAGCTGTTCAGGATGGAAGAGTTGACGGTATGTACCAGTTCTTACCTCGTCTGCAACATAAATTAAAGAGGCATTATGTAAGATTTAGATAAAAAGCTGACCGTTCTCGCTATAATATTTCAAAAATAGATGATGCAAAATGAAGATATTGAACATTTCATTCAAATTACTTTATTTTAATGGTTGTAGTTTTGACAAAATGTGTACATTGATTGTAACCATCGCACTGGTCATTCGTGTCTTAGCTTCGCCTCTCCATTACGAGAATCCAGTACCTTCCCTCGCAATTCCCGGTGTTTTTTTAGGAAGCGCCAAAAGAGTAAATTAAGAAAACGTGGCACATTCTTCGTTGTTAAAGAAACAGTCGATATTTTATTTTCTGTTATCCCGCTTCTTCTCCAGTGGGGATCATATTAAATCGGTGATATGAGAATCACGTGCAGACATGGTTAAGCTGAGTTTTATGCTCGATATATGCTCGAACAGTGCCAGGAAGGAACACCTTACCGTAAAAATCTTATAAAAGAAAACTCACCAACTACAGTTGGTTCTAAATCAACAAAGACGGCTCTTGGTACATGTTTACCAGCACCAGTCTCACTGAAGAAAGTATTGAAGGAATCATCTCCACCTCCAATAGTTTTATCTGATGGCATCTGACCATCGGGTTGGATACCATGTTCTAAACAGTACAATTCCCAACAGGCATTGCCCATCTGTACACCAGCCTGGCCGACATGGATAGAGATACATTCACGCTGAAAATAGAAGGAAAATAACATGAAACTAGTATTTTGGCATCAGAGGGACAACATTTTAAAGCTTTTACGGTAAATCACATACGTGTTGGAAACTAGTTTGTTTGCAGGAGACACATTTTAGAGCGAAAGATTATAATGTTTGAAACATCCGAATAATATATAGGTTTTTACATAGATGTACTGTTACGTTTCTATAACTAATGCACTGATATCGATTATTCTTGAACACTTGTCTGGGTCAAAGCTAACGATAGTCCAGTTTTCCTGTTAACACGCCGAAAGATAGTTTAGAAAATCTCTAAACAAGAAGCCAACGGGCAACAATCGGGCATCGATTAAACGTACTAATGGTAAAATTATAAATGCCAATGCACGATTGGAACATTATGTAAGATGTAACATTTAGAATTTTCGAAAAAACTTTTAATAAATAGTAAATTTCAACCACTTTTAGCCGGCATACATACGAAACCACCTCTCCTGTCAATTTGTAGCATGCATATTTGAAGGAAACTGAATAACTGTCGATAAAATGTGTTTAAAATAAGATTCGTTTACCTCAGAAAAGGCAAACTTAGAAATTTTCTCCTAATCTACATGTTTTGGGGTTTTTTTTAGAATGAATGTCTCTACAAGAGATAATTAGTGGTAAATCTGGCTAATTAGCATGATTTGTGGAAATTACTCGATAACAACAGCTAATGGGAGCTTAATTTATGGTACAATTAGGTATCATTAGCTGAATTAATCATATTTTGGTAACACACAGACATAATGTATCCGTACTATAAATTACAATAATATGTACGAGTTTTGTCATTAACTACATATTCAATCTATCATATCCAAACCTAGGCGTCAAATGAAAATGTCCATGTAACTATGTTTGGAGTTTGAGTTGATTTAAATTTCCATATATTTTCTTTCGGATTTGATATATTTTGATTGCTCATATGAATAGATGCATTGCTTTGAATATATTGGGAACTAGTCGGTTTGAGTGCTATACAGATTTCGCTTTACACTCCGTATGTTTTTATCAGTACGCACAGAATCTGCGCAAGGGTGGGCACACACACACACACACACATCTCGTATGACGGGGGATTTGAGTCAAAAGTCAGTGCTATGTTGTTAGTGCTATTACATGTCCAATGTTGCAAATGTTGAATGTAATGTGTAAATTGGACTAAGTCAAAAGTAAATAATCCTGTAATACTGACAAATACATCGTGTAAAATGACATCTACTTTTTGTCATTAAACATTTCACAAGCCGAAGTCCATCTACCCAGAACTTTAAACACTGAACTCTGACATCTTCGCATTTAACACTCGCCCTATGTATTGTACCCTTCGACATATGTCTTGTGTATCGTAACACAGAACAAGTAATGAAATTAGCCAGTATGCAAATTAGTTCACACGGTACCTATTTTTAATCACGCGAGATCTAAGCTGTATGACTGTATCTTTTTGGTGCTGTCATCTTTTGCATTATAATGCTATCCTGTTTATAAATTATATATAATACCCATCCATGGGCCATTGTTCATTCTTCTCCTTTTATTTGTTGAGCTATTATATTTTAAATTATGTATACTTCTCATGGAGGGCAGGGTGGTTGTCGTGGCAACTTTCTATGTCCATATTGCTCATGGACTGTCGCACACGTTCACACAAAACCCTGGCGACTTCAGAGTAAAATTCTTCGTAGGAAAGTCTATGAATTCTACGAACAATCTCTTGTGTTATATGTGGAAGCCGAGATATTTTATTTTTCTTTCTTTATTTAGGAAATCAACACCCGGTTGCAGGTCTCATGCCGGGGGAAATTCCCTGCTTGAAAATTATGTTTTCTTCACGCGAGATGTCACGTGATTAAAAATAGGTACCGTCTGAACATATTTGCATACTGGCTAATTTCATGTCGTGAGTTCTGTGTTACGATGTAAAAGTGAAATGTTGAACGGTACAATATATAGTGCGCGTGTCATATGAGAAGATGTGAGAGTTCAGTGTTTAAATATCTGGGTAGATGGAGTTAGGCGTGTTGTGGAAATTTTGAAATGTCTAATGTGAAATGTTTAATGACAAAACGTAGATGTCAATTTACACGATGTATTTGTCAGTATTACAATATTTTGTTAAATTTAACGTCCTCCAATTTACACATTACATTCAACATTTGCAACATTGTAGATGTAAAAGCACTAACAACATATGTAGCACTATCGTCGTTGCGACATTGTTTTTAAATTTATAGACAAGGAATAGAGAAATAAAATGGCTTTATATTTCATTAATTAATATCTTTGGCAAGATGGTAGGTTCCCACATATGTAGAATTGCACTAAGTCAACTTAGTCTGTAATTAACATATTGTTATATAAAAAAGAGCTCTTTAACCAAAATATGTCAATTATTTACCACCAGAATTACACGTGAGTGGAATTATTTTAATTGCATCATTTGATTTAAAGTAACCAATCATTTTGTTAATTACACAAGTTCAGGGCCATGATCACGCTTTATAGTGCATGATATTTATATACCTTTAAAAGAAACCGTGGAACCCTGTAAGTCAGACTTGCATTAGATTCCAGAGATCGAGGGTACATCTGAGTTCCTAGACAGCCGAGAGGCTGGATAGGGTGGAGAAGTGGTTTTAGCTATATAGTATTGTAATTTGTGCTATGCTTGTATACCTGTATTCAGTTATATGCTATATAAAATGTAGAAGCAAACTGTCGCATTGTTATTCCTGGTAAGACAACGTCTTAAGAAACTGTAAGAAGTAAATACACAACGTGAAGCAGAAGTAAAGACAGCTAGAGACAAATTCTAGACGATTACAAGGCTACAGAAATATGTAGTAAGAAAAGATGCATGGGTCGTACGTAGGATGTGGCGATCGGTTCCCTTAAATCTGCTCTCCACGTCAGACAGAAGGCTCATGGTGCTACATATAGCACTGACTTTTGACTCAAATCCCCCGTCATAATCTCGGACCATCGCTTTCTTTCGAGTTACTATTTTTCTAGCGTGATTTTTTCCCTTTTTCTGTAACTGTACCTAGACGTGTATCTAGGAAAGGCTTCTTAGATCTTTATGAATGTCGATTAACATCAAGTATAACACGATTCATTTGATTACTGTAACAATAATATTCGCTCATTTTTCAAACCTACGCAATAACTGCTATGTTTATATATTGGTATGTTATGTTCAGTTTTAATGAAATCAGAAAATATTCGTAAGTATCACGTGAAATGTTAATCCTCCGAGGAATAGAAGAACATTCTTGTGAATAGCTCGTGATGTATGGGCACTCGGCTCGCTAGCTAACAGACAATCAGGAATAATATTCAAATAACCAAATCACATATTGGATATTACTTTGAATGATGACATAAACAATACTGTCATTATTACAGCACGAATTGAAATGAAATGGGGTTTAACGTCATACTGTTCTGCTCCTACTGAGATAATGAAGAAGGGATATTACAACATGAATTGACATACAATATAATTGGGGTTAACGTCCTACTTTTCTGAGCCAGGCAGTATGCTATGGAGGAAATTCTGCCACCCACTCTTTAATCACATTCCAAATGTTAAGGTTATTTTTTTCTCGAATGCTAGCTTTAACGTCGGTTTTTGTCCCACCCTAATGAAACACGGATTGAATCCCTTTAGTCGAGTGGTCCAATTCCGGTATGTGGCAATGACTAGGGGTTCCCGCTTAAACTAGTTGCCGCTCTCTCTCTCGGGAGAATAATTTCTTCTGAATGCTGAAGTATAAAGCTGTAGTCGTTCCTGTCAATGGACATCTTATATAACCACAACGTTACAGGTTTATGTCACACTTCTAGAAAGACGGATTCCTGTCAATTGGGTAAATGAATAGTTTTATTGTGGATAATTTGGGAATTTGGTGACTAGTTCAGGGAGCGGTAAATGCCATTTTCGATAGATTTTAAACAGAATAATTATCTCCCATAATGTAAGTAACCACGAGCCCCCCCCCCCCCCCCCGCCTAACTACACAACTCACACCCACTAGCCACAGCCACTATGTGTCACAGCCATGTTTGTATTATACATTCCCAAAGCCCCTTATGAATGCATGAATATCATGTTGTATAATGAGGAAATATATCTCGTAAAAGATTCTAGAACAAATATGTACACTAATGTACACAGAACGTGGCCAGATGAGTCATGCCAGATTATCGATCCAATGACCACGTTTAGTCAAAAATAGCAACATCATAATTCCAACATTCTATCAGCCCGCTTGTTAGGCTACTGGTTTTAAGAGGTAGAAATGGGGCTTAACATCCACTAGACACAAACTAGGTCTCTTCGGGACTAACATGTTACAATTTCATTAGCGTGGAGAGGCGGGGGGGGGGGGCGAAGTTAGGCAGGCGACACTAATCCTTGTTATTTGGGCTCGAAACCACACAACTAGGCTCAAGGATGTGTTATAGTATAGTTAAAATATGACACATTAGTCACCGGGAAAAAGAAATGATTAATTGATTTTATGATTTCATAAGTAAGTATGATTCATCTATAGATAGGTGACAGATGTGATGATAAATTATAATAACCACAGATGTTGTCATTTATGGATCTACAGACTATTGTTGGTTTTATAGCCAAACATATATAATCCACTCAGTTTTATAGCATATTTTTATTCATTGAAAATCGATAATAAATGCAAATTTTTACAGATCTGCGAGTGGTTTGCGGACACGGAGTTTTAAATTGGTGCATTAGATATGTTTAATTTAATTTGACTATTTTGTCGTATATTGAATAATTAATTGTTTTCCCGATAGAGCCTACCCGTCAATATCCCGGGCTCTAAACGGTCAAACAAGTTGTTCGTAAATGAAGTTTTCAATATCTAGTACTGGCCTATCTTAAAGGGACAATAACACTCTTGCTGGCTTGAAAGATCCAGAAAATAAATAATATCTCTATCTAAGTACTAGATGTTTAAGTGTCCTACCTGTTGTGTAAATTATCCATTACATCCTATTTTACTTGTGCAGAGGGTTCGAAAATATTTTTAAATCGAAGTTTCATTTGAAAAGGTTTACGTTAGACGTTTCAAACCATTATGTTGAATTTTTCAAAAATTTTAAATAAGGTGTGTTAAGATGAAATTTGTATCATCAATTAATTGAAATATTCTAAAATAGTACAATTTGTTGACCAGAATAAAGATTGGGACATATTATTCAGTTACAACAAGAGTGGTATAATTGAGCCTTTAAAATGGTATCTTTAAAGATCATGCAATGTTTTAGACAATACAGTAAAGTAGCTTCTTGAACTTCCCAGCATCATTTTAATCAGTTTGTATCATTATTATTAACCAGCTGCTGCTCACGACCAAAGAAATATTTTTTATAACATTTTATGGGATATAATAAACTCGCGAACCTTTAAGCTGAACACAATCAGGGCGGGGGTCTTATTATCTTCCGTTTTAAATTTAAAAATAACATGTTATGTTCTGTCTAATTGTATACAACGAAACACGAATTTAAAGTTCGTTCAATCAAAAGTGGAGTGGTGTGTGATGCATGTCAGATGTCAAAATGTCGCACCCATAACAAAAAATATCGTTAGAATTGATCGATTTGATGTTTTTTGGCGTTGTTTTCTAAATAAAAAATATACTGTTGATTGTGTCTTAAACAGTGGGAAAATTACATCAGTGATAATATCAGATGTCAACATGACGCACCCCAAAATATAATCATAATTTATGTTAAAATTGATCGATTTGAATGATTTGGGCCCTAATTTAAAGAAATTTATTTATTTTCATCATTTTTATTATAGTTGGTGCCGGTGGTGTTTTATCCATTTCTTCACATTCAAGATAACTTCTGTTGAACTTGTTAAATTTGTACCGTTAACTTGGTAAACGCAGTTGGATTTTCACTATAAAAAAATCTGTTAATATGATTTACATGAGATAAAAAGATAAAAACAGTCTTTTCCGGTGCCGTTATTATACGTATTTTTAAGATACGGTGGTTGGCCTACTTTCTGCGACTTGCTCAGTTTTATTTATTAGACCTTTTACGCGCCAATTCTATTCTGCGATCTATGCATGATATTCTATGTTTTCGTGATAATGGAACAAACTTCAATTTTCTGGTAATTATCATAGGGCGTTATCTGTTCTTGAAATTTTAAAGGGCTGATTTTGACCAAAATTAACGCCCACTTGCTGAGAGAATATGTAATAAAGTTTGTTCAGTACATTCAGCATGAGTACATATATGTATATACTTATATAGTAATAAAATGTTACTAGGTAAATGGCAATATGAATAACCAACCACCAACCACAATTTTACTTGGACTTAAAAACCCATAAATTTGTAGGAGCAACGAACAATTACTGTGGAATAAACAACACCGGCAAGCAAGCAAGGTGGCTCATGGGTCAGGATGTCCCGGGTTCTAACCCGTGAAGTACCTATATACATGGTTTCCCCTTTCACATTTTCATTAGCCCAGTTGCTGTAGAAAAGTAGTAAGTTAAACCCAATATTATTAGATTTTTAAATTCGTATAACACTTACATATTTAGAAAACTGAATGAGATTCTAGTCGTGTGCGGAATTTATCATAATATATCAAAAGGAGACAAAATGAGAGCTAGAACTGATCGATATCACACCATTTCAAATAAATCGACGGAATTAATTATTCATTCTTCATTAGCTAACTGTGAGTAATTGAAGATTCGTTCTCATTTTTATCCAGATTCCTGGAATTCCACAGCTTACATTTAAAATATTTTTTGAAAAACGAAAGAAAGAGAATCTCCGAAGAGATATTTCACCATCGAGTGAGAATTATTTAGCCAAGTGATAGGTTCAATAAATTAGAACTAAATGACAAAATCGAACGTTTAATATATAATAAAGAAATGAATATTTTAACAATTAAATTTCAAATATTTGCACAGAAATAAAATCGAGACATACTTAAAACATCGAACAGTATAAATATTAATGTAGCTCTTCAGTGGTTAAAACCAGCAAAGACAATCGAACAATAAAAAGAACCGCGAACATATACAGCAAACAAAAACCAGCCGACCGTTTTGCCCGGTATCTTAATGTGAATACAACAAGAGACATTTAAACGTCACTTTAAAAGTAAAACACCTGTTGTGCAAATTTGAATTTTAAACTAAAACGAAAGAATTTATAGACGAAATGAAACTATTCTAGAACAAAAGGAAAAGACAAACTCACCATTTTAGATGATTATGTTTGTAGAAGAATTGTATTGAAATTGGTATTGATGAAAAGTTGTTGAATTCGACCACCTCAGTACGACCGTTGATGCGTCGCGTGAGCTGTACAGAAGACTAATGATGAAAATAGGTCATAACCTAGCCTTTTTGTCGTTTGCCGCGAGATGATTTGGTGGTTGTCATGGAAACGTTCAATCTATTGGACGGAGTGGGATAACGATTATCGATGTCTGACAACTACCCCGTGTGGAAAAACGACATCATGGGATACGCGGAAGGGTGTGTCCGAGATGAAACAAAACATGGATAGTGTGATGCATACAAGCATGACACATCTATAAGTATAAGGTCTATAATAAAATGTGGAAAATGTCCATAGCTGTATCGGTTTAATTATAATTGCCTTTAACTAAACAAGCAAACAGAATTGGAGCTGTACCGGTTTTATAATTGCCTTTAACTAAACAAGCAAACAGAATTGGAGTTTAAAAGGGCAGTGGGGGTGTCAATTTTGCAGATATTTTACTACTGATTTCAGCAAAAACCGTAATAGCGAACCCAATGGAACCCATTGCAAATGTTCAGCGGTACCACGGGTATCATGAATAGACAATGCCAGACAATTTCAGTGGTGAGTTGCGCCCCCACCCCCTAAAAAAAGAATAAAACCCATTAATAAGAACGAGTCCTCCAACGACAAGCTAGATAATCTCAGAAGCGAACCCCGCAATGAAACCCACTACAAAGTAGTCAGCACCACCGAGGTATCATGAATAATGAATGCCAGATATTTTCAGCGCTGGGTACATTCATTATTTGCCAACAAAAAGGCCCCGCGCACGCCCTCGAAAGTAATCTGGATGAGCTCAGAACCCATTAAAATCCACTGGGAAAATGAGCACCACCTCAGATATCAGGAATGAACAATGCCAGACGTGTTCAGTGGTTACCCCCACTCCAGACACCCTAAAACAGCCTTTTGACACTATAATATCGTCCTTCTATTGGATTATTGTTTTCCGGAGATTAGGAAAAGACAATAATTCAATGGAAGAAAAGATGTCTGTGGCTGAGGTCAAATTTTAATTAAAATTAGACAACATGGAAACAACCAAGCAAACATATTTCTGATGCATCACTTAAAACATAAGCTTTATTTCAAAGCAAGGATGCCCTGCAGATGCAAATTGCATTGCAAGGCGTTTCAATAAAGTAACCCTTTGTAATATCCTTTTGCTCCATTAGTAAGTGCAGGAGGACCGCACTATATGGTAAACCGAACCCACAAGACACATATAGACATTGCAAGAAATAAACAAATATCAGGTTAGTTCAGCACTGAAATTGTCTGGCATCCCAAAAGGGGGGGGGGGGGTGTGCGTGTGTGCGAGGGGGGGCTGGTTTGGTGATTATGCCGGGGTTAATCCATTCCTGATACTTGGTGTGATGTTCAACATTTTATAATGGGATTTATTGTGTTCGTTACTGAACTGTTCTAGCATTAGGCTACCCATTGATGATTCCTCTGATGGCTTGCGTTGGGTTCTCTCCTGAACTCATCCTGCTTACTTTCTGTGCATCAATATTATAAGGCCTTGAGTGGGTATATAGGCTACCCCACCACTAAATGTTTGAGAGAGAGAGAGAGAGAGAGAGGGAGGGGGGGAGAAATGGGGTTTAACGTCCACTCGACACAAACTAGCTCATTTCGGGACTAACATGGTTTAATTTTATTTTAACAATTCGCTTTCTGATACAACGCACACGTGCTAACCATTCGGCCATCCACCACCACCCCCACCACTAAAAGTTTGAAGGGATTTCGGGGACTTTGTTTCAAAAGATTCGCTTCCCGGCTGATCCTGTTCATCGTAGACTATCCACCTTCTCGCGGGCTTAAGGTTTTCGTCAATGGGGATGTCACTGCCCGCTGAATATATATAGGAAGGGTTCGTGTCCTCTCGTGACCTCAATGCTTCATTCCAAATTTGAAAAAAAAAATCCGTTAAATAAAAAAAATTGATGTTTAAAAACTAACCAGGGTCACTCAAACTGTCACGCTTTGATCAGATAGGCCTAAGTAGGGAGTAAGCCCCATCCCTAACACAACCTCAACCCCAACCTTTTATGGTCTTCGTTGGTCCGCTTGGTGCAGAAAAGTAGGATGTTTTAAACCTTATATAATTCACGGAGTTAAATCCCATGCATTTCATTTCAAACTGTCATCACTGTCACGTGTTATTCCCAGCATCCAATCGAATACAGTGGTTGTAACGATTATGACGATGGGGTATATAAACGCTGGTCGCGTGCTAACTTCATACAAGCCATATATATCTCACGGAAGCTACATCACACAGCTCAAGTGAGATTTCTACCTACTAACAATTTTGTTTAATTTTGTTAATTCAACTAAATACTTCCAAAATGGTAAGTAAAATAATTTTTCGTTATTTGGTCAAATATTTTCTTTTACTTTATAGATTACTGGCGAAAGTTAGGGAGATGACATAGTTCTATCTTACTGCGTAAATAACCATACAAGTTGACCGGCGCAATCCGGTTAAGGTTGCTGCTTTTATCCGCCCATTGGCTCAGTGAGGTAGACGTGGATGGCTCGCTAGCCTGGAGTCGCTCCCGTTGTTGGCTGAGAAAGTTCTTCGGGATTTTCTGGTGTCATTCCCCATGTCAGTGATGATGGACGGAGGACCTTATAAGGACAGCTGTCTGGTCGTTCAGGTGGGACGAAAAACCGGTCCCGTGTACAATTAGCGTGCACATAAAAGATCCCTTGGCAGTTGGAATTCGATATAAGAACTTGGCCATAGTGCCACTGTCTGGGCAAAATTCCCCTTATCATATCACTTTAATTCAGTTTGGAGGATAAAACAGTACAGTAGGACATTAAACCCCAATGCCATTCCATTTTACAGCCCACATTGAAATGTTGTCGAAAACTGTCGCGCCTCATCAAAATATGCTGGTGGGTGCTCTAGATTAATCCAAGTACTGTAAAATGATCCGCTTTAATATTTTGATTTTGTAACATCTATCATCTTAAGTCATTTATCTGTACTGCACACATTTAACTTACATATCCAGTCCATTTAGTTTACACAAAACCAGTTTTATATGTGGTGGTAAATTGTCATTGTCGTCGCCCTTGTCATTCGTTCCGTCGATGCTCTAGTCAGTCCGTCGACTTTATTCATACACAGTGTTTAAGGTCATGAGACAAAGAAGCCTCTAGCTAGAGGCTAAAGTTAATATCCAACTGACTTTAAATTCATACATTGTTTCAGGTCATGAGGCGAAGGACGCCTTTTGATTTTCAACGATTTATGATAATTACTGAGCTATAGCCCTTGATCACTTTGAAATATCTTGTGGACGCTCTAGAGGCAAAAGTTAATATCCGGTGGACTTTATATTTATACTAATAATACACAGTGTTTAATTAAGGTCATGAGACGAAGAGGCCTAAAGATTTTCAACAATTTCTGATGAATACTGCCGGAGTTATAGCCCTTGATAATAACTGTTTTGTATACTAAACGTCAGCATAGGTCAGAACTAGACGCCAAATGGCAAATGGGTTGTTCCTCGAAATCAGATTTTAGTGTGTTGTAAATCATAATGTTTTCATTTACATGTATGACAAAAGAAAAAAAATATTCGACAACCCTTGTTGACTTCTTGGGCAACTTGGCCGCTGTGGGCATTTTCGTTGCCTGGCAACCTATCTTTACAATCCATTTTACGAGATTTCACAAGTTTGAAGCAAAGACAAAGTAATGAACAGTAAATAACCTATTTACTAGATCTACTATCTAGGTCAAATTCAAATTTTGAGCATGATTCCACACGAAAAACGAAATTTATTTCTTTTTCTTTTATTTTTAACTTTAATTCATTTATCTTATTTTGCTCATCTAAGTCACCCTAAAAAATGTATGTTTTGATTCTTTTTCTCATAATGTCATAATATACAGAGGTCAAACCATCCCAACATTGTAAATGTTTAATTGCACAGCTTTTGTTTGTCAGTGAGCTTCATTGTTCAGTAACAGTAATGGATAATTGAAAAAGCAAGGAGGGGCAAAGGAAATTTACCAAATGATAACTTGCACTTCTTAAGTAGGCTACTGGTAATAATTACTGGACTGCAGTGGCTGAAATGCGTGATTTTTTTTTTCTGCTGACCGTGTATTCATTTTCCATCTACAAAAAATGTAAATTGAAAATCATGTAGCCTATCCAGAGTGGAAGATTCCGCTTTCATGGTTTTCTGAATGTCGGGAGCCCCGTTTCCTCAATTTTAAGCTCATTTATTAAAGAGGTAATTTTTTTCAGTGGGTGTGGTATTTGAGAGAAATTTTTGTATGCCGGAGGAGAGTACTAGCTCCAGTTTCTGAAGGCTTTAAGTAGTGATCGGTGTCTTGTACGAGGTAGGGTATGCATACTCTTTGCTAAATTCAAGTGATGGTGAGATAAAGTAAGCTTATAAGTGGATGATTTTTAAGTTTGAAAAATTATGTTTTATTTCAAGAGCTACCATACAGTAGACTTGTTATTGATATTTTTCAGTGACAGCCAGTTTAATAAGTTGGGAAGTGTGTTTTTATATGTTAATTTGTATTTTTCAGCGTGAATGTATCTCTGTCCATGTCGGCCAGGCGGGTGTGCAGATGGGAAATGCCTGTTGGGAATTGTACTGTTTAGAACATGGTATCCAACCCGACGGTCAGATGCCATCAGATAAAACTATTGGCGGTGGAGATGATTCCTTCAACACTTTCTTCAGTGAGACTGGTGGGGGTAAACACGTACCAAGATCAGTCTTTATTGATTTAGAACCAACTGTAATTGGTGAGTTTAATATATTATAATTTCCTACTTGTAAATCTACAAAAGAAAATATTTTTACAATGTTAAAGATATATTCCTTTTGCCATGATTGGGTCAACTATTCTAACCACTAAATTATTTATCTGAAAGTATGATACAGTAAACCTCGCATAAGTCAGATTCGTACAAGTCAGATCTTCGCTCAACTCGGATAAAATCATTTGGACCCTTTGATCCTCCACGTTTCTAGACGCCCACATTGAAATGTGGTCGTATATTGTCGTCGGTCTGGCGTCCACCTCTAGAGGCTCAAGTTAATATCCGATTGACTTTAAATTTATATACAGTGTTTAAGGTCATGAGATGAAGAAGCCTATTGATTTTCAGCGATTTCTGATAATTACTGCCAGAGTTATGGCCCTTGATCACTTCAAAAAATCTTGTGGACACTCTAGAGGGTAAAATTAATATCCGATTGACTTTAAATTTATACAGTGTTTAAGGTCATGAGACGAAGAATCCTATTGATTTTCAGTCATTTCCCATAATTACAGCTAGAGTTATGGCCCTTGATCACTTTGAAAAATCTTGAGGACGCTCTAGAGACTAAAGTTAATATCCAATTGATTTTAAATTTATACACAGTGTTTAAGGTCTTGAGACGAACAATTATATTGATTTTAAATGAATCTTTATGATTTTAAAAGTTTCGTATGTTAAACGTTAGCATGGGGCAGAACTTTATAAAAACCAAACAAATTCTAATGCTTTTCTGATATTTACTTAATGAGTTGTTACTCTTAATCAGATTTTAATGTATTATAAATGTTTCATTACCAAAAAAAGTAAAAATATTTGACAACTCTTGTTGACTGCCCGGACGATATAGCTGCTGTGGGCGTATGTTTCGTTGCCTGGCAACCTACCTTTCTTATTAAATTTCTACGCGTAAGTCGGATCTTTGCTTAACTCGGATCAAAATGTTTGGTCCATTTGATTTTAAAATGAGTGTGGTTTAAAATATTTTCCTAGTGCAAATTTTGAAAAAAGGTTTAGCATGGTCAAATTTGATTAACCTTCTACACCTTCACTCTGCAGATTCAAAATGATTAAATTTTGAAGTAAGGTTGCTAGAAACTAATGTAAACTTAAAATGGCAATAAACTTGTGTTTTATTAGTACCACTAAGTATCATTTATATTTATTTCTTCCAGATGAAGTAAGAACTGGTACATATCGTCGACTCTTCCATCCGGAACAGCTCATCACAGGTAAAGAAGATGCTGCCAATAACTACGCCAGGGGTCATTACACTATTGGTAAAGAAATTGTGGACTTAGTTCTTGACAGAATCAGGAAAATGGCTGATCAGTGTACAGGTCTTCAGGGCTTCCTTATCTTCCACAGTTTTGGTGGAGGAACCGGTTCCGGATTTACTTCCCTTCTTATGGAAAGATTGAGCATTGATTATGGGAAAAAATCCAAATTAGAATTTGCTGTCTATCCAGCTCCCCAGATTTCCACTGCTGTGGTTGAACCCTACAACTCTATCCTCACCACCCACACCACCCTTGAACATTCCGACTGCGCTTTCATGGTTGATAATGAGGCTATCTTTGATATCTGTTTACGTAACTTAGATATTCAACGTCCAACTTATACCAACTTAAACCGTCTTATTGGACAGGTTGTCAGCTCCATCACTGCCTCTCTCCGCTTTGATGGTGCCCTTAACGTCGACTTGACTGAGTTCCAGACTAACTTGGTACCTTACCCACGTATCCATTTCCCTCTCACTACTTATTCTCCTATCATCTCTGCCGAGAAAGCTTACCATGAACGAAGTTCGGTATCTGAAATCACCAATGCCTGTTTTGAACCAGCAAACCAGATGGTAAAATGTGATCCTCGTCACGGAAAGTACATGGCCTGCTGTTTGCTGTACCGAGGAGATGTTGTGCCAAAAGATGTTAATTCAGCCATCGCTACTATCAAGACCAAGAGAACCATTCAATTCGTGGACTGGTGTCCAACTGGTTTTAAAGTCGGTATCAACTACCAACCACCAACTGTTGTACCAGGAGGTGATTTAGCCAAGGTGCAGAGAGCTGTTTGTATGTTGAGTAACACCACCGCTATTGCTGAGGCCTGGGCTCGTCTGGATCATAAATTTGATCTGATGTACGCAAAGAGAGCTTTCGTTCACTGGTATGTTGGTGAAGGTATGGAAGAGGGTGAGTTTTCTGAGGCTAGAGAAGATTTGGCTGCTCTTGAGAAAGATTATGAAGAAGTTGGTGCAGACTCTATTCAAGGTGAAGAAGAAGAAGATGAATATTGAATTTCAGAAAATTAAATTTATTAAATGGCAATATATTATAGATCTTTTTGAAAAATGATTGTTTTCCTTTTTTATTTTAGTAGCCTTAATTTTTTGCACTTAAATGTAAAAAACTGTTGCTGGATGGGTCCATAATGAATTGATCAATCCTAATTTTTATGTTAGACTTGAAATTCTGCTATATTCCTGCTGGCCAGGAGTTTTGTATTGTCTCGCTATGAATTTAGCAATTGTTAGTCCAGAAATGATCATGGTTTGATGTCTTGACCGATTGTCTATGGGATAAAAATAGTGTATTTCTATCAATTCTGCCTTTTCCATGACAATTTTGGTTGGCCTTTGAGGGGGGTTGGATGGCTGAATGGTTAGCACGCGCTCGCTGTATCATGGTCTGTCATTGAGTCAACTGGCGGGGTTTTGATTCCCCGGTTGTACGTGACAAGGAGTAGGGTCGCCTGTCCAACCTCGTGGGTTTTCTCCAGGTCCTCCGGTTTCCTCCCACTGCTAAAGACCCGTAAGCGCAAGCGAATTATTGATATACAATTGAACCATGTGTTAGTCCCGAAATGACCTAGTTTGTGTCGAGTGGACGTTAAACTCCATTTCTCTCTCTCTCTGGTTGGCCTTTGAATCTGAAACCAAAGATTAGTTAAAATTTACATTTTCTGCTTGATTTGTGGGACTATTCTTAATTTTGAAGCTGGCAGTAAAACGACATGAATTAGGAAATCTGGCCCAGAAAGATAAAAGATGTTTAACCACCTTCAACATTATTAAATTGATATCATCGCAAAGAAATGGCATAGAAAGTCGATGAGGAGATAATTATTAGGTTAAAAGAGTTATCCCCCATTAAACATACACGGCCGTCCCAAAGGATTTGATTTTGCTAATTGATATTTTACTTCTTTGAAAAAGCTTTGGCCATATTACAGGGGCATTGTGTAAGATTTAGATAAAAGCTGGACGTTCTCGCAATAATATTTCAAAAATAGATAATGCTAAATGAATATTGAAAATTTGATTCAAACTATTTTATTTTGAGCGAAGTTGTCTTGTCAATGGTTGAAGTTTTAACAAGTTGTGTGCATTGATCGTAACGACCGTACTGGTCATTGAGTCTTGGCATCGCTTCCCACTTGTTAAATTAAATGGCCAAACCGTTTTAATCTACTTAAAATAGGTGGCATTGAGAGTAAGTTGATTGTGGGCTTGCCATGGTTATAAATGTCTAATTAATAATTTATATAACATCGAAGGCCTAAAGAAAGACCTGCAATAGGAAGATTTAGCAGTTATATAATGGCTGTTTAATATTCTCGTTTAACTGTGTTTTAACATATCAAATTCAACCAATTGCAAGGAGGCCATTATACTGCCTGTTTTTTATGGGTTGTTTTTTTTTCATAAATAACTTGCATGTAAAGAAAATGACTGTATTTTAAAACTTCCGTGAAGGACATAAAGATTTTAAAGTACATCCCATGGTTAAAGGAACAAAATTGGTCAATTTCTATTGGCAGCCCCACAGAAAGCTTTATTTTGGTCCTGTCTAACCAATCACCGTTTCTTTATTGAAGAATATTAGGCTAGCCGTTGCCTATGTTGTGGGTCATATAGGGTTTAATATCAGATTCCACCGATTGTGATAGCGCAAATAAGTCTTATTTTTATACGCCCACATTGAAATGTATTGTCATCAGTCCGTCGAGGGGGTGTCCACAATTGCTCGAAATTAATAAAGTGTTTAAGGTCATGAGACTAAAGTTGATATCCCACTGACTTTAAATTTATACACTACATTTAATGTCATGATGAGACAAAGCAATATTTTCAGTGGTTTCCAAAGATTATCACAGTTAAAGCTCCTGGTCAGTTTTTCCAAAAGTTGTAAATGTAATAGTCTTAATATCATATAAGGCGGACCCTCTGGTGGCTAATGGTATTTTCCGATTGATTTGTAATTAAATAAAATAGGTTTAGGCTATGTGATGAAGCCAATTGATTTTCATCGAATTATGATAACTCGATTCATCATCTGGTTAGGTAGGCCCATGTGGGTAATACAATAAATGTTAATAGGCCTACCGCAGAAAGAACTACAACAGGGGAATCAAAACCACGCCAGTTTACTCAATGACAGACTTTATGATACAGCGCGCACACACTAACCATTCAGCCATCCAACCCCCCAAATGATGAATGAAATGATAGGGAGGAAACATTCTAAACAGGGTATTCCCGAAACTACATCTTTATGTTGTTCTATTCCAGCTACTTCGCATGACTTACGGGGTTATGTCGCTCTCGTGTCGCACGTCAACTATGTGACGTAATGATAATGACTAAAACATATTCAAACTAATTTATTAAAAGTTTGCTTCAAATCCCCCGCAAAACAATTTAATCGGAAGGAACTGCTTTAACTTGTATTTGTGGTTAATTGAATCGTAAATAAATTCTTGGATATCCTTTGTCAACTTTTTTCTCCACCGTTGTTTCGCCGAGTCTACTCCATACAAAATTTTTCGCATCCGCTAGCTATATTATATTCGATCAACAAATAGCAAATGCCATATATATATAATACGTCATGCGTACCGACACATCGTGACACTGCATTTTCGCGCGGCGGGGGGGGGGGGGTTGAACCCAGTATATATATTTTCAGTTCTCTACCTTTTCTACGAAATTTGCCAAACTATACCTTATCAATATTTTCGGGGAAATGCTTCTTTAATACAAGGCATCTATCTATATGTATATTTCTAATAGTAAGATGACCCAACTTATCCACACTACAGAAACCCGACAACCTGTGGACAATACAAAAACATAGATAGAGATAAATAAACAACACATATCAAATCAGATAATGGATCAGGAGACATGTCATATCTTGTTATATAATACAAGTATACACTTTCATATCACTATAAATAAGTATAAATAAACCTTACATGTTAAATTAGTTATCCATGACCATAATTGGTGAGAAATGAATAAGTATATCAAGGAGACCTTACGAACGAAATGTAAAAAAAGACATTCGAAAGGGAAAAAGTAATGGCCAAGGAGAGACAACGATCGAAAGGAACCACACAAAATCCACTACACAGCCGTAACACAGGGACACCGGGAAGATCGGACGCCCTCTCTAAAAATGAAGTTAAAAAACTGAAGGAATATTTACAGAAATTGTCGAGAACTAAAAAAGGGAGTTTCCCTATGTCTAACACGCAATTAGGAGAGACAATCAAAATATATCTTAACAGTAAAGATATTAAAGTGCCAAGTTTCAAGGACAACAAGCCAGGGTTGCGTTGGGTCCAAAAACATCTTGGCAATGAACCAGGTTTCCTTAAAACTAGACCTTACAAACGAGCAACCCGACAGTTCAGGAATAATGTAAAAGAGGACATTCAAAAGGGAAAAAGTCAGAGATCCGTGTCCAGTGAGAGAAAACGACCGAGAGGAACCATACAAAATTCACTACACAACCGTAACACAGGAAAACCAGGAAAACCGAACGCCCTCTCTGAAAAACAATTTACAGAACTAAAGATATATTTACAGAAATTATTGGAAAATGACGAGGAGAGTTTCCCTATGTCTAACTCACAATTGGGAGAGACTATTCAAAAATATCTTAACAGGAAACATATTAAAGTGCCACGATTCAAGAACAACAAGCCGGGGGTGTACTGGATCACAAAATATCTTAGCAATGAACCAGGTCTGCTTGAAACTAGGGCCCAGGTAAGTTTAGATTACTAATTAACAATTGAGCTGTCTGTGCCGTTTCATTTATTTGCTTAACATATAATACGGTTCATTATACAGTTCATAATACAGTAATACAACGCCCATGCTCTTTCGTCGCTAGAATAATCTGCTACAAATGTCTCCTTTAATGATGAAGTTTATTTGTTTGACACAAAAGGTTGGAATTGGGGAGTGTCACATATCTTAAATGTAAATACATCTATTATTTTTATAACTTGACAACGCTTATATTGGCCCGTGTTTAGACGTGTAGACATACCGGATACCATAAATGCGTGATTCTACATGTTCAACCTATAAAAAGAATTCGTCTATGGTAGATAAAAATGACATTAAATGTACAAATATTAATGTTTCGTGATACTTCAACACAGAGAGAGGGGGGTGGGCTAATGTTCACTGACACAAACTAGGTCACTTCGACACTAACATATGGTTTTAATTTATTTCAATAATTCGCTTGCGCCAAGGGGTCTTTAGCAATGGGAGGACCCGGAGATAACAACGAGGTTGGACAAGCGACCCTATACTCCTTGTTACGTACAACCGGGGACTCGGAACCACGGCAGTTCACTCAATGACAGACCTTATGATGCAATGCGCACTCGCTAACCATTCGGCCTACCACCCACCCACCCCCACCCTCCTTCAACATAAAATCTAGGATCGAAAATAATGGATATCACATTGTTTGTTTTCAGATTTCACAGAAAATATAAAGACCTTGTAATCGACGATTATCTACTAACATGTTATGGAGTTAGACATATAGGACCTGCTAATCTCGCTGAACGAAATCACAGCTATCTCCGTAAACTCCCCCCACCACAGCAAAGATGTACTTAGCTCTTCCGAGCGCATGATGTCTGAGTGCATAGGCGTATAATAATTACCAGATTGTGTCAAAGAATATAACATAAGTATGTGTTATAGTGTAGTACCATGGGTCTTCTGTCAGACTTGGAGAGCGGACGCGGGAAAACCGGTCGCCACATCCTACGTATGACCCATGCATCTTTTCTTACTACATATCTTAGTAGCATTGTGATCGTCTAGAATTTGTCTCTAGCTGTCTTTGCTTCCCCTTCACGTTGTGTATTTACTTCTTACTGTTTTCTTAGTTCAGACGTTTGTCTTACCAGGAATAACAATGCAACAGTTCGTTTTTACATTTTATATATCATAGCCGGATACATGGATACAAGCATAGTATAGATTACAATACTAAAGTCATTCTCAAACACTAGCCAGTCAGACTCGCTGGGCGAGTTTGCTGATAGAAACTGTTACATCTTTTCCCTTCAAGAATCTGTCTGTTGTCTGGCGAATTCTCACAAGTATGATAGTTTTGTAGCTTTGGGTTTTGGACCTTCAATTATCTAATTGGTCAAATATGATGTAAACAATCAAAGAGATTGGTCAATTTAGGCTAATGACGTCGAAACCCACGAAAAATGGAAATATACCGAAGAAGCTTCCCACAAGATATATGTTATCAACCTAGAATTGAATGTTTAGCATATTATGACTCTTTATTTCATTCATTCACTAAGTTGATTTAAGTACACATATATGTGAATCTAATAACTTGCCAAAGATATTAATTAATACAATATAATGCCATCATTAATTTCAAGAGCACAAATTGTACAAAAGTGTTACATTCGTCCCTTTCTTCAAGACGTTTTGCTCGGTATTAGGTAAAATATCCCTTGAATCCTTTACAATAACTATACCAACATCTAAATATTCATAAATGTAGCAGAAATCTCGAAAATCGATATATATCTCACCTTCATTATGCGAAATGAAAAGCTAGGAGACTAAATTTCCATGACTAAACACTATAATTATTTATTCAACATGCACATATATATGATTACTATATGATTAACATACAAGAGTACATATGATCACAATATGCGTCAATCTGTTCCAAGAATTTAAGGGCCAATCCCGATAATATTTTGGAGAATAAAACTGCTTAATTTTGTGTTAAAACCCTTTAATATCCCTAAGGGCCGAGCAACTAATTCAATCAGTCTTCATCTGGAAATAGAGACCGGTGTCCCAAGCTGTATTATGCGGTGTCTGGATAAAACCAGACTTTTATTTTATAAAAACAATGTGTTGGCGGAATTTACCTCTCGTTATCCAGTCCGGCACATGGGTCATTCACTGTATAGACCTCTAAAGGAACGGCGATATATTATCAGGTCACCCAACGAAAAAATTGACCAGAAATCTTAAAAGGGTTACGTGTCCAGATAAGCATTTTTGACGTTCACGTTCAAACAACTCAATATTTTGAGCTGAAATTTTGAGGCAGGGTAAATACACCATTCCTCTATATTTTGGCACTTAAAATTCATACAAACTCGGACTTTTGTTTTTGAGACTCTGTTCAAATCGGGATAGTCCCTTTAAGTATCAATGAAAACACAAATAAACAAAAATCCAAAATCGCATGCAAAAGCTCTCTAAAAGTTCATCACTGTACTTCAAAGTCCTATGAAAATTCACTAAGCCTAAACACATAAAAAAAATTGCCTTTTTTAAAATCTTCATGTGTCCTAATTTCAAAACACTATAACACATCACTTCTAATTTATAAAGTTCATGTTTCACTTTAAATTCTGTCTCAGGAAATCTCAATTTGGTAAACTGGTAAACCATTTCTTCTTCTTGGATTTCCATTGGTCTGTTTCAGCTACCATAGTGTCAAGTTGTAAACTTTTTTCTTTTTTTTTCTTCTAAGTATCATTGGTTTGAGACAAAATACAAATTTTATCTGTCAATCAAACATGTCATTGTCATCAGATCAAGAACTAACTATATGCCTAATTGTATTATTAACTCTTACTTTTAATTAAAATTAAACTTTATTTAATTATTAATAAACTTTGATGTGTCTCTTTAATTATAAATCTTCAAACTAACTTTGACCCCCTGACCTTATCTCAGTAATGGACAATTTTATCATTTCTGTTTATGTTTTAGAATTCCGCCAAAACAATTATATTATTATTTTATATTTCACCTTCACAGTTATGTGACCCTTTTGACCTAATCATTTAGTCAACTTCTGTTTTGACTACCAGTGTTACATTATCGAGAATGTCAATCAAATATGGCCAGTATATGAATGACATTACATTTTATCCTACAGTAGGATGCTAAACCCCATTTCATCGAACAATAATAATAATAATAATTTAATTTATCTATAACTATGTCCCAAGTGAATGAGTGCACTTTCATCCACGGGAAAATTAGTCTATAGTTATATAAACATGACAACCAGAATAAACATAGCTTTTAATTACACATACAGTTAACTATATCCTATATATTAATGCATCACGTGACTTTCACACACGTCAAATTTAGAACCGTTTGTTTATAATAACCAGACATAAAAGTACAATGTGATATCATGTCAAATTACAGATTCCTAATCACCCCTCGTGAACAATTTAAAGCAAAATTTAATTAATGTATTCTGTGATACATTGCATTCTGTACATGTCTAGCCTCCAGAAGTTCCACCGGGTCTATGTTACGAATAGTGTTCGTTACCTAATTTTACCAATAGGCCTACCGTGAAAGATTTGAGTAAAGAGTGAGTTTACACTCTCTTTAATTAACAATCTGATTAATATACGGATCTATATTTCGTTTCGTTATTTTATACTTTCGATGAAGATTTGACCAGTTGTTAGGGTGTGCCATGCATCCAAAATTTTCCCTACTGAAAGTTGAACTCGACACGGCGAATGCGCATGCTTCAGTAGCTTGCCTCGATGTGATGTCTGGCTAGACACGCGCTGCGATAACACTCAGCACAAGAGTCTATGAGTCTATAAATAGCCATCGCACATGAAATTTTCTACACATCTATCAACTATTACAGCCGTAAAAAATCTATTGTTGACGATTCTGAATAGCAGTAATATTTAGCTTTTTGGTTATTACAGCAGCTTTAGAAATTACGTCCGTTTTATTTTTTAAATTGCTTTATCATTAACTAATGTTAGGAGCGCCATCTTTTGGTTTAGTACAAATAATATCTCTGAAACACTCGGGTTAGGCAAGAACATGATACTAGCAGTAGTTTCATTTTACTTTTAAAGTTGCCTAACGTGCGTGCGTTGATCATATTATTGGTATAGTTGCATTTCACAAGGATATATAGTTTGGAATTGGCTTCAATCCGTTGCGAAGAATATTACATGCACTGAAAAAAAACTTGTGTTGGATCTCAACACAAGTGCTTGTGTGAAAATTATTCTACACAAGTTATGTGTTGTTTTGCATTGCATTAACACAAACTTGTGTTCTTTTTAATGCATTAACACAAATCTTGTGTTTTTTCCATATAATTAACACAAGTAATGTGTACCGTCAACAAATATTTTTTTTTTTTAAATTTGAACTCCATACAAAGTCTTAATCCAGGGGTCCACAAGTAAGAGAAAAGTATTTTTTACTCAGACAATATAGCCAGACAGACTTGAATGCTAATTGGTGTTAAGATGTCTGTAGTTAAAATAAAGTTGGGCCCAATAAACTGGTAGATCAAAGGCCTGTTGAGCGCTCATGCCCGGTGTGATTTTAACAATTGACTCCAAATGCGTTGACAAGAAAATAAGTGAATGTGATTGGTTGATAAAATCAACGTACTATAGGCTACATTTTGTCTGCGATATCATCTCGGTGGAAGCGGACATTAAATGAAGTGATTTCACACAATTAATTTAACATTTAACAACGTGCTGAAATGATTTTGGAGCAGTGATATGTTTGACAAATGTAAGTTAATGGTCAGATAGAATACAAGACCGCAGGTTTGTGAATATTTATATAAAAAAAATAATACCATGTATGTAATTTAGCATCGATATTGTTTCTCTGTATAATATTAGTATTTCGTTTCCTTAAAAAAAACTCCAACAATTTAAACCGGAAGTTCATGTTTATAATATGGCGCGGTCAGGAAAAAAATTTCGGCGTGTTATTATCAAATCTGTTCAATTTTTCTGAAATCATGCTTAATTAACATTAAGTGTTCGGCGCTACGATGTTGTTCAAATACTTACATTACAGAATCACATTATGATTAATGCAGAAACGGCTCGACTTGAACCAGCAGGTAAGAATCTGTTTTGAAATTATATTTTGGGAGGTTGGATTGGCGTTGGAGACCCGATTGGCGGCCATTTTGATTCTTGTTTCATGATTTTTTTTATATTATAACAATTTTGCCAAGAGTAGACATAAACGCGGGCACAGACTAGAAAAAAATCTTTTTACACTTTTGTGTTAGTTGAATTGTAATCTAATTTATGTTTAAAAAAAACAACCTTAAATCTAATAAGCAGACGGAAGATATGGACGAACAACAAGAAGAAGTTATGGAGGTCCCAACAACTGAACCTATGGAAGTAGAAGAATCGTTTACAGCCGAAACCCGATACGATGTGCCAGTTCCGGTCATGGAGTCCTCCATCTCAGACGATGCCGACGTTAGTGTCTTCTGCGACGAAGAACCCGTAGTGGTGTATACGCAGGTAGAAGCTGGTACCTCCCGTGGCAAGTCCAAGTTGTTTGACAACCAAGGGTTTAGTTATACAATTAAGGTAGGGTGATTTATTTTACCTACCTTGTATAGAAATGTATTTCAGCTACAAAATGTAAAGATAATTAACTCTAGTTAACCTAGTTAACTCTATAATAATAAATGAATTTAATATATTTTAGACAGAGAAGAAAACTACGATTTGGAGGTGTTCCAAAAGAAGCGGACCAACACGATGTCCGGCAACAGTAATCCAAGATGGTGATACATACCAACCAGGCTTAAAGAACCATCTTCACCCAGCAGAACCCGGTATACAGACGGCTACCAAGATAAAAGTTACAGTAGGTTTAAAAATTATATATCAATTAAATTAAAAATTTATATATGTGTGTAAATAAATAAAATATAAATAAACCAATAATATATTTGTAGTTTAATATGTTTTATCTTATCATTACAGGCAAAGCATGAAGCCAAAGGAAATGTTTTTACCAAGTCATGTTCCTCAATAGCGGAGAGAGTTTTATCCAGTGTCGGTTCTGCAGAAGAACCCATTCATAGCAGACCACCCATGGCAGCACTTGTAAGGTCGCTACAAAGAACCCGACAGACTCTGCGACCAAAAGATCCCACTGACGTGTCGTCAAGCGTAAGTACTCATGCAATTAAATACCCATGTATATAAGAATTTATTAACATGTAATTAAATGTACAATTTTATTTATTTATTAACATGTAATTAAATGTGGTTTTTTATTTATTTTTTGTTTTAGCTTGACGAAGATTTCATCGATCATAGTGCACCGGGATTTTATCAAAAAAGAGTAAAAGTTGGGGAAAGGCGCCATCACATTTTTTGTACTGATAGACAGATGCAGCTACTCGCACGCGCAAAAACTTGGTATATGGATGCAACTTTTCGGGTGGTGAACAAGCCATGGTCTCAGCTGTTTTCCATCCACGCCTTCATTAAGACTGGAGAGACCACCCGACAGTTACCATTGGTGTTTTGTGTAATGTCGGGTAAAAGCCAAGACGACTATTATAAGTTAAATAGCACTTACTGATTGAATTACTATTAATAGTAAAAAAGGACTATTATTTGGGACCTTGAAATTGTCACAAATGGGTCGCACTAACAGCGACATTTGTTTAAGGCATATTTGTTTCATCGGTGACACGTCTGGTGTCATGTGAATGCAACGACAACAGCCTGGTTGATTGATTTGTTGATTGGAGTTCAGATGTCTACATTAAAATCGACCACTTTCAGGTTGCCGTATTCACGGCCAGGCAAGACCGACTTGAAATTTCTAGAAATTTTTCTGGGGGAGACAGGCCCCAACAAATCCCCAGACGGTGCGTTTCACGACTTTGGCGCAAGACGGTGACCTTGAAGAGACGTGGAAAACCATTTAATAGACATAGTAAAAGTCATATCTTACGAGATTATCGCTGGTCTTGTCAGAAAATGCTATTTTATATATGACCAGTTTGTGTTTGAAAAATTTAAAAAGAAATTATTTATTCTCCCACCATTAAAGCACACTAATTACGAAATATCGCTCTCAGAAACTTCATGGTTTCTTTTGCAATTTGTTTGGGGTAAGACGTTATATAAATAATATCAATCTGTCCACCACAAAAATTTAACAGATACAAATGCATGTTATTCCACAGGTAGACAGACAGGGCCTCCTTTGAAGGGACTCAGTGAAGGGAACGCGGTTGGTTTAGAGTTTGTCTGACCCCTTTGAATATTTGCGTCTCATCTCCAATGAAAACAATCATGTTGCTCTCATGCTGTTCTCAACCAGAATCAAACATATATCGTACCCGAGATTTGTTAGCATGTTCCACACAACCCAACATTTATCGGCACCGGGATTAAGGGTGTATATCTTTGTTTCTAACGCTTATTGGGAATACGCCACGGAAACTACAATAAAAACTTATTTACAAAAACATTCTAAAGAGTGAAAACTGACATATTTCAAGCTTTACTGTATTTAAAGAAATAATTTAAATCAGCCGGCTGAAACCCCGTCTCCGCTATTTGTTCAGTCATTCTTTAGGTATAGTGCCAGTTTCCACCGACAATGATATTGCAAACAAGTGTCCAATCTATAAAAGCATACATTCCTACAAAATGTTTCTTTAGTCAAGTGAAACAATAAATTCATAACTATGCGAGGGTGTGGTGAGTAAATTCGTGGTAACAAGTCTGAAAAGGCTAATGTGACATAGAACAAGGTCACCTTGATGTTGACAAATACGTAAGACGATATGAACATCAACTAAAAAGATATGTAATGTGATTCAGCTACAAGGTGATATATGCATATATGCAGCATAGATAATTAAAACTTCTATTCAAGTTAAACCAACTGTATCTATTTATTTAAGTCTTACGTCGAGCTGAATACATTTTATGATTTATTGTGATTAACAGTGTGTAACTAAAAACTAAAATTGGATCTTATTATTGCCAATGATACAATGTACATGTAATAGCAAGTGTATATATATTTTTTGTTCAGTCTGTACACAGTAACATATCTGAGAACCATATTATTATCATTTCTGCCCAAGGCTCCCTGTGCCTTATAGTTAGCAGTGATACAAGGCAATTACCAATTTTCCATGTTCTTGGCCTGAAGAAATAAAATAATAAAAGTCAAGTTTTTATTATTATGCAAGTGGAAAAATACAATTATTCATAGTATGATTTGAATAAATACAACTGATTTGAAGTTGGAATTATTGTTTGTCTAAGATGACTGGGCATTTACAAATTGAAATAGCTACTCTTCATCAAGAAAATACATGAATATTTTTCCCAATTCACCTGGATTTTATTGTAGGTCTTTGTACGTGAAATAGCTTTATTTACGTCCGCTACCACCGAAGTGATATTGCAGAAAATTAACAAATTCGGATTCCCTTTTAAAGGAAATTGACTGCACTATCGCTGGATTGTATTATATAGGTCATGTCAGTTTTTTTCAAAATGGCGCCCAGAACACAAAACAAACATTGCAATTCAAGGCGGACTGGTGTCGAGGCTGTATCCTAAGAATGATTTTTTGAATATTTAATCACACAGAAACACAAGTATGCACATGCAGTTATGATATAATATTAAATTAGCTTACCTCAAATACCTCGAAATATACTGTTTGGTCAGTTTGTCCGCCCGTCATATTTCTATTAGTCACACATCCTTCGGCCAATTAAAATGGACGTATATTTTGTTTTAACCGAAACGAAAAATTTGCGTTATAAATAGTAAACGAGCTTGATTGACCGACCACTGCTAATGATTTTTCGTGAAACGGTATAACTGCAATCAACACACGGCCGCCATTCTCGATGATTGACAACTCACGTTTTTCCTCATCCACCAAAGAACCGTTAGGTTTCTTTGAACATATTGTAATAACATTGGGATTATCAGTTAATCAGCTTTAATTATCCCGCTTTGTTCGTTGCCATTTCTTATATTTTCCACAAAAAAACTTTGCCTTGTACGCACTAATTTATCAATTGGTATTGCCATCTACGACAAGCATGTCAACGTGCAGCTCACGGATTATCGTTAACAATTTCTAGTGGCTTGTAAAAAAAGATTGCATGTCGTGTAAATATTTATTTTGTTTTTTTTGTAGGTCATTTTCAAATAAATTCATCAGCATATTATTCGTTTTAAATAAATATAAAACTTTTATGAGAAACGATGATTATCAAAGAACCGTAAGTGCAACTAATGTTTTATCGTTTGGTTGAGCCTTTTACTAACCACGTGTTTCATGTTAATAAATATTTTCTTTCGTGTTTTGAATTGGCCTATTTCTAATAAATTATCCCGAGTCCCAAACGTCGTTAACCCGAGTCCCAAACGACGTATACCAAAGTCCCAAACGTCGTATACCCGAGTCCCAAATGTCGTGGTCATATTTTTTTGAGTCCCAAATGACGAGAGTCCCAAATGACATGTAATCCGTTGTTCAACCTCTGTGAGTCTGTGTAATATTTAATATTAGGTCCCATTTTTGCCTGATTCAGTCACAGTTAATAAATAATGGAACTAGAATCAGCCTGTGGAAGTTTCTCTATAGTTTTATTATTTTTTCCAGTCAGTGATGATATGTGACTCTTTCCACCTTCCAGCAATAATTATTGAGAATTTACCAAGGACTCCATTGGCATTGAATCGAAGAAAAACAGGTAAAAATTTCAATTAATTTTTATATTTTCTATTTTTTTTTTTACCAATGTCCTACAATGATTAGTGTATGTGAACATACAATCCAAAATAAAGTATTTATATGGCACTTACATGCAACAGAGAGAGAGAGAGAGAGAGAGAGAGAGAGAGAGAAATGACATAAACAAGGCCTTACATGTACTTGTATTTGAAGAATCAAGTAGTCCATGCTGTGCCTATATGCATACCGGTAATCAACTACGACGAGGATTACCCTACTTCCGTTTCCACCCTTTCCCTGCACACTGTCTCATTCTACATGTATTAAAAATTGGTATGTTACTGTAATATTAATTATGCACGAACCTACATGTAGAGTTGTTGCAAGATGGGTCCTTATATATCTACTTAGCCTACAGACGCTAGGTCGTTTCGGGAAAAAGGACAGGTAAGGTTAAATTTAATATGAATAATTCCCTTGCGGGTATGGGTATTTAGCAAAAGGAGGAAACAAAAGTACCCAGAGATTAGAGAAGGTATGCTTCAATTTAATATGAATAATTCGCTTGGCGTAGGGGTACATGTATTTAGAAAACGGAGGAAACCGAATGACCCAGCGAAAAAACTCAAGAGATTGGACAGGCGACTCTACTCCTTGAAATTGAAACCATGCCACTTAACACAATGACAGACCCTGTGATTTCATGCGCATGCATTACCTACTAGACCATTCCCCCCAGCCCCACCCCATATCGAATAAAAGTATGACTTATTTCAAATATGATATTTACATATAAAGAAAGTAGAGAGACTTCAATCTTACTAGAAAAATACTAGATTACCTGAAATGAAATGGGGTTTAAAGACGTCCTACTGGTCAGCTCCGACTGGTCTAATGCATTGTGCTAAGTGAAAATGTTTGTCTGGGCAGCGACACTATGGCCTACTCTCATACCGAATTCAAACTGCCAAGAGAACTTTTATGTGTACACCAATGAGTACATTGGATCTCAGGGGAAACCACTCTGCAAAATCAAGATGAGCTTTCTCGGTCAACCCCAAGAGATAACCTGTGGCCTCCATGCTAGTGTGCCAGCACCTAATTTACTCAGTCACCATGGCCGTCTTCTAATTACTGCGACAGTGAAACCATGTGACAAACAAGGATTATTAAGATAGACTTTTACGGCTTAGGTAGTTCCTTGGGATTAAAACTTTTGATACATATAGATACATTAGTTTCAATTTCATATCACACAGTTTGTATATATGGTAAGGTAGCTTTAATCGTAAATTACATATCATGTATTTATTTTTTCAGTTTCAATATTGGATGTATATGCAAATGACCCAGAAAAAGATCATGTAATAACAAAAGAAATTATAAAAGAAAAAAATGGAAGAAGAAATGGCTGGAAAAAATGATGATAGAGCAGCTTTTTTTTGGTGGGTAACTATTCAATTCTAATAGAAAAGATTGTTATGCTATTTTGAAATCTAAAATTCAGTTTAGTATAGTAAAACTGTACACGTCATGTATGAGCAGAGACAGAATCTTAGTTATATGTAGATATCACTGTCTCATCTGTGGCAAAGCAAACCAACACATGAAACAAAACAAATGTAATTAAATTAACATTTTTTTAATTAATCAAAACTGTCTAGTCAATTTAAGCCAACTAATACATTGCCAATTTTTTTTTCAGTTACCCACCTCGGAAGATCAAGTTGGAAAGGGCTATTGATATTGTGGAGACGTTTTCTCACAGATCTTGCTTATCAGACAAAGACTATGTAAGTACCATGCATATTTGCTTTTTAAATCAGGAACTGGTTCTATACACTTGGTGGGGGGGTTGGATGGACGTTAAACCCCATTTCTCACTCTCTCTCCTAAATATTGAGATTTTTGTTTACTTTTAAACTGCATATATTCAAGGTATCAGGAGCTTTTTATGGCTCCCGTACAATTTTATAAACATAAAGGACTGTACCTTTTGAATATTAAGCCATCAAATTATTTTATAATTTTGAAAATGAAATGAAATGGGGTTTAACATCCTACTGTTTTGCTTATAAATTGGGCTAATGAAGACGGGCATACGCCATACAGTGTGCTATGAAGGGAATTTTGCCCGGGCAGCGGCGCTACAGCCTACTCTTATATCGAATTCCAATTGCCAAGGAATCTTTTACGTGCACGCCAATGTGTACACGGGACCTCGGTTTTTCGTCCCATCCGAATGAAACGGGCATACGCCATACAGTGTGCTATGAAGGGAATTTTGCCCGGGCAGCGGCGCTACAGCCTACTCTTATATCGAATTCCAATTGCCAAGGAATCTTTTACGTGCACGCCAATGTGTACACAGGACCTCGGTTTTTCGTCCCATCCGAACGACTAGACAGCTGTCCTTGTCAGGTCCTCCGTCCTGTATCACTGACAAGGGGAAAACACGCAAAATGTAAGTAACATATATATTTCTATTTTTAATCAGGAAGTACTTCTATACACTTGCTTGGTAATCTAGTTATTCTTCTTGGGGCAATGCCTAGGACTCTGCTGTTTCAAGTACTTGGCATACTTGATTTTTGCCAATCACATCCATTGATTTCCTTCAAGTTGCGATAGGCCCTACATGTATGTGTATTTTTACAGTAAATAGCAGTAAAATAATGATGGACAGTATTTTACTTTCAAATAGATTTCAATAGATTTTAAAGGGTAATATCCAATTTGTTGTCAATGGAAATAAAATAAGAATGGTCCAAAAATAATTAGACATTGCCAAGTAAATAGGTGCTGCCATGATGTAGTAGGGAATCTGGATTTGCAGACAATACATGTATGAAAGGGTGAATAGTTGACCTATTATGAGACTTCAGTCCCAAATCTCAAGACTTTTTTCTGACTTCTAACTCATTTGATTTGAGCATAATAATCTGCCTGGGTCTGTAACTGGACAAGACACAAAAAGGAATTCCGCAAAGTTGAAACCAAATAGAGACTCGGTCTCGATGTGGCAAAATAAATTGTTTATTTAAACGTTGTGAACCATAGAAAGTATTCTTATTGCCTACTTTTTATTTTTTAGGCTGGAACACCATTGAAAGAGTATTTGCTGTATGATAACAACAACAAAACCCAAGCATCAATTTATTTTATACTTCTGGGAAAGAATGCATTTGACCCAATTTTTAAATATTTATTTTTTGTTATTAATGTTAACTTTTCTTCCAAAACACAATTAGATTTTAATTCTCTTCAGAAATGTATGTATAATATAGCAAGTAAAGTGAC